ATATTTATGCAAGTATATATAAACAAAAAGCCAAATATAACAAGCCATTCAATCTGAAATTTCAGGAAATTAAATTAATGAAAAGCTCATGACAAGTTCACAGCTCAGTCATTAAGGCTCTTAAATTGCATTTTGCCTGTGCCAGAATACTGATGCAGCCTCAGAAACTCCCAGGTAGCTCAGCAGGTGTCCGTTCATCATCGTTATTATTATGGCACCTATCAGCTCTAGCCAGGGTCAGGTCCTCGCCGTACTCAGGACAATACAGCAAAATGAAGTGGCAGCGTATTGCAGAGCGTATCTCGAAATGATGGACCTAAAATTATTTCAAATGGACAAAATTGGCTGATTTCGATGGAATTAGGACCCTACAGTGGATACAGTAATTTGAACAGTGTGTTTTAAGGGCTCTCATTTTAACAAAGCTGCCTAAAAATACACACACTTGCACACACACGCATCTACCCACACCTTTGTGCAAATTGTCAGTGTATAGATCCAACATTTTAGCCGACAAAGACCACAATGAATAGTTTCTCATCTGCTCAGAGACAATGAACCTACTTTCCTTCTCCTAATTTAATTATATTACATTCCCCGGTGCACTTTGTATTTTTACGGCAGTATGAATGCTGTAAGCTGGAGATACCGCTACTCATTGTCATGGTTTTGTCACGATTCCCATGATATTTGGTGTTTTTTCTCTTAAAGATGTTACTTAACTAAAATTAAAACAAAAAAGCTACACTTCTGGTTCATAAAGTGCTGAGGAAATCCTTGAAAACGCAAAGCCTAAGGTCTCGGGAATACAGGAGGCGAACAGGAGAAACCTTCCACAAAATCTTTTTTTTTTTTTTTTTTTTAAATTAAATTTTAATTCATGCCCCAGGTTCTAGTGGCAGTCTGTTGTTTTTTTTTTTTTTTTTTTTTGGTTAAATCTCAGGATACTGAATACCTAATTGACAATTTTGAAAGCTTAGATTTAACAATTCTTCCTGTGATTCCGAAATGAGTAGTTGTCATGTGCTTTTTACGGTGATGGACACAGCTAGTTTTAGATGTCACCCAGCATCTAAGACCACCCCTTCCGTCCCCGGTACGCGCAGCCGGGCCCCGATGCTGTAATTAGATCTGCAGGGCATGGCCACAGCACGCAGGTAGGCACGGGGGCACAGTACATCTTTTCTCCTGCACGGGTCTTTCATGAAAGGCAATGACAAGGGAAAAACATTCTTTTTAAAGCAAAATAATTGTAAACCCGCAAAATTTGGCAGAAAAACTCGGAGGAGGCGTTGTACCAGAAACTTATTTTCTGTAAACTAAATATAAAATTGACTCCATCAACTTGAAATTCTCACTTTCTGTTAAATTTCAAAAAATTATTATAAGCTAGGAGTTGGGAAAGTTCCACAATTTACTGTCAACTACAGCAAGCTGCTTCTGAAAATAAATCCCCGACTACACTGTGTAAGGGATAACAGAAGTAAGAAGCTGAGACATGTTCATGAATCGCGGCTTGAGCTTTTCAAAACCAGTAATTAGCAGCACACAGTGACCCGACAACTATTTTTAGTGCTGTGTATTCAAAAAGTAATTTACGTGTAGATATTGTTAGATGCACGTTTAATTTCAAGCCACAGTTACACAAAGTTTTAATTACTAAATATTAAGATACATTTCAGCATACGGTTTATGATTAGCATTTGTAATTCAAGCTATAAACAATACAACTAATTACGTTTATTGGTGGAACTTTACTTCCCACACATGTTCAATCACTTTCAATTATTCCCCTAGTAATCTATGACCCAGCAAGGTACAGAAATTGTGTGCCTACGTTGCAGCAACTGGGTAACTGGTTTCTGTGCACTGAAGCATAATATTACAGGCTCACCCTGTTTTTCTTAACATCTCGCAATGGCAGACATGGAAAAATGTAGATTAAAAAGCTGCAAAGAACAATAAAAATGTCAGATGCTGTGGCACGTATTTGAAAACTGCAGCCAAGTTTTACTGGCTTGTTTAATGAAGGACTTCCAAGCCACAGCCTGATTTTTACGGTGACATGAAATTTGGAATGAAGACCAGGTTTGGCCAACCAAAGGTCTGTGAACAGAAACACTCCTCCTTTTATACCAACTTCACATGTGATGGGTCATGTCTGCTCTCTTTTCTCATTGAGTTTCATAGAATCGTTAAGGTTGGAGAAGACCTCTAAGGTCATCCAGTCCAACCGTCAACCCAACCCCACCACGCCTGCTAAACCATGTCCCAAAGTGTCATGTCTACAAGTTGTTTTGAACCCCTCCAGGGATGGGGACTCCACCACTTCCCTGGTGACCATTCTTTAATGAAAGAGTGGTCAGGCACTGGAACAGGTTGCCCAGGGATGTGGTGGAGTTTCCCACCAAAACACGTGCCCACGTCCCAGCACGCAACTTCAGATGCCCGCAGAGCGAAGCGACGAGGCAGAGCGGAGCTGCTCCTCCTGTCTTTGCTCACTAACATCAGGTTTCGCTGGGTTCCTCTGCTCAGTGCCGCAGTGTTGGGTTCTCGCCAAGAGCCTCGCGTCGCGACGCAGCGACGAGCTGGGGCTCCCTGCGACTGAGGTGGCTGCCAACGGTCGGCACAGACCTCGCAGCGCCGAGCACGCAAAGTGCATTTAAAAGATGCTCACTGAAAACGCGAATTCCTTTTGGACTTTTTCGCTTCCTTCCTTTTTCCCTGAGGGCACAACGAAACGCAGAGGGCCCAAGGAGGAAACCTTCGCTCCAAACTGAAGCCATATGCTTCACGCCGCTCTCCTGCAAGAGGCACGGAGGCAGAAGGAGCAGCTGGGCAACAGGACTCCGTAACTCTCGTAAACCTGCGACCTCACGAACCGGCTGACCCGAAATTCTCACATAGCGAGTGCAGAGGTGGTACGGTTGCTGTATGTTGTAGCTGCTCTATCACTCTCATCATCTCCCCCACACAAAGCAGGAAAGAAAGCAACGCGATCGAATATGTATTTGTCATGAGACAGTAATTGCCCATCGGTTGCTCCGTTTCTTTTTTATTTTTGAGCTCTCTGCAACTACTAACTGCCATATGGATATAAAGCTGAAGAGAAAGGAGATCATAACAAATAAAATCTCACACATTAATATCGTGATAAAACAGTTCAGGGTTTGTTTCAATGCTATCTGCTTCAGCGTACGCACTATTTAATGAAGCCGCTTTCAGTGGAGCTCAGACATCAAACCACCTCTACCAAAACCAGGTGTTAATACCGTTTGATTTTTTAGAAAACAATCCGGCTACATTAAATATACTTCTCAGGCCTGGTTTTGCATGACAGATATGTGATGTGCCAATGGTTATATATTATATTCTTCCTCTCAGGCATGCGTCTCCTGCAGAGACAGCAGACTACAGAAGCTGACCCTTACTGAGACCATCTTGTCTCTCTGACAAAGCGCCTTTTTAACTTCTTACTTACTGGTTGCTTCCTGCGATGGATAAAAACTTCAGCTCAGCTTGTGATAATTTCACAGGCCCTGAGCACCCTGACCCTGGAAGCCCCGAGGTCAGAAGTCAAGTCTTGTTCTGAAACATCTGTGTGCTTCATATTAAAGTAGAACAAAAGTGAAGGAATATCCACCAGTGTGACAAGAGAAACAGGCAAAATGGGAATGACACGTTGGTCATCTGTTACCCATGCCACCTCAAGCCATTGACTGAAACGGGATGGAAAAACTCTCCCAAGCCTTCCCCGAACAAGGACTTTGTTTAGGAAACACTGAGAAAGGTCTCCAGTCGATTTTTATTCCTGCCCTGCGCTGAACGTATTTATCTGTAGATGTCTGCTGACCCAAACAACGTGGCTTTACAGAACTTCACAGAGCTTCTACTCGCACTTCGCTTTTGGGCGCCAGAATAACCCCGGGCTGAAACGCAGGGCAGCTGAAAATCACAGCTCACGACAGCCGAGACAGAAGAGATGCTCCTCACCCTTCGCCGTACCCGAGGAGCCACAGGCACACGCAGAGCTGTGGTTATAGAAGGAACCATTCATCTTCACTCATCTGGTCTCCTAAAAATCTAGTTTTGAGACTATTTGACCTGGTGGTAAAATACCTGTGGAAAATGATCAGCTGAACTGTTCTCCAGTCTGTACCTGCCATACATATTTTAAAAATACTCTTCAGGAATCACAGGGAAAATCAAAACGGCCTTAATTTCTACAAATGAAAAGAGTTAACAAAAATCTTAAGCTCTTAAAATAACAGAAGTGGCACTGCTCTGGCTCCTCCTTGCTCCTGAGAGCAGCACAAGATTAAAACCAAAGCACTCACACGTGCTTTTTCTTAACTAAGGCATTCATCTTCATTCAGGCAGGAACCACCTTCACTAACTTTGAGTTAGACTAAACTAAGGTGTTACAGACAAAAGACGTATACATACGTCGGCAATTTTTGTTTCCACAATAAAGCAGAGTCCTCCCCACCTCACGCCACTGCGGGGTTTATCCAGAGCCCAATAAAGGGCAAAATAAGTCTTCCCAGCAACTTCTGCAGACCTTTGGGGAAAAACTGCAAAAGTGGGTAAAACTCCCAAATTTCCCCTCGTGCTCAGTTCCAATCTGTATACAGAAAGGTGCACTTGTTAACGTGACTTTGATTTCAAACCGTTCTTACATGGTCTCAGCCTCCACCTCCAGTCTTTCTGCCCCAGGGCAGAAGCTCATGGAGTGCTGCCGTTCGGTGCATAGCCCGGACAAGGAGGACCCAATGCGTTTTGTTCCCACACATTCTTTCAGGTTCTTGGGACCTTATTGTCTAGCTCAAAACCAGAAAAATGCAGTGACCTCGCAGCTGCAAACGAATCCTCACAGACCGGCATGAGACCATTGGTCCAAAGCTGCTCCTAAACGGCTGCTCTCAAGAAGGCGATCGCGGAGAATTCAGAAAATCTGTGAAAGACTTCAGGAAAGAAGGCAACGGAGAAGTCACACTTACCAACTCTACAAAGGCAAGTCCGCCATAACTGTGAGCAACAAAAAACACGTTCTCTGCAGCTGACTGGGAAATAAAATGGTCCCAAACATAAATTGCGTGTTCTTCAGGAGATCCATTATCCTGCAGAAAGAAATGACGTTTGCGACAATTACCTTTTAAAAACTGGCAATTCTGTCTAAAAGCAATGTGTTCCTATACGTTAAAATGTTTTGTTAAAACAAACCTCAAACGAATATACTCTGGTGTCAAAAAAAGAACAGATTTATTTGTCTAAATAAAAGAAATTTCAGATTGCAATTTAAAGGCAGTAAAACTGTTGCTTTATTGTGGCTTATTTTAATAAATACAACAAAAATTACGCATCTGCAAAATTTTGTGTAAATACTATGATGGCAATTCAGCTAAACAGAGGCATTCAAAGAAATTATGAGCCACTGCTCTGATTTTCATTCTTTTTGACAACTCTTTGTCAAATGTTTGTTCACTGATGGCTTGTTTAAAGTAGTTAAGTCTGATAAAACAAATAAAACCAAGTGGGAACAATATAAATATAATTTCAGCCTTTACAATTTTTTCATATTATGGGCCAATGGAAATCTGCCAAAGTTTAGAATTACGGTATTTGCAGCTACTCCTCTAAACGCTGCTTTCTGCAACTGCAGACTACGAGATGCAGCACAGATAAAACACCTCTGGACTGCTCACACGTTGGCCATTACTCCGGAGTCTCTGGTAGTCAGGGCAGTGCTTTTTCTCATCACTGAACAAGAATTTGCGAACGCCAGCGAGCGCTGAGTCACTGAAGGCAGTGGAGTGATTTACACTGATTTTAGTGCACTCTCCTCAAACCCCGGGGCTGTGCGCTCCCACCTTTACCTCGGAGGCTCGCGGAAAGCCCCGTGCCCCTCCATATTTTATTGATTTCTCAGGCTGTCTGTGTTCTGACTACACATCTGTCTGGTCTCAGCTGGCAAGGGCAAGATGCTCTGCTCGCTCCCCTGCCCCACCACGATCCCAGCACAACGCTGCAGGCGCTTGCACAGGTCAAGGTCACCATATTTCCCAAAATTTCCATCCCTCTCCCCTTCGCTCTGCTCCACCACCAGCTTCATACCCCGAGGTGACCAAGGCGCAGACCATAAAAGCCACAGCTCCTTGGGGAAAACGAAGCATGAACCAGCAAAAGCCACCAGCAATCAGAAGATGTTAAATACATAGTGCAAATTGCTCCACACCTTACCAAAGAACACTGATGTGATTTAGGCCTTAGTCCCACTCTGAAGCTCCGTTTTGTGAATTTAAGCTCCTACAAGCGTCTAAAATCAATGGTAAGACAGGCAGCTACATAACGTGGCGGTGGGTTTAGGCTTTCACTTCTGTTCTCGGTTTCCCAAATAAGAGTGCGATGGCTGCAAATCTTTACGGATCTGGACCCAAAAGCTTTTAAAACAATTACGTGCTTTTAAAATTCTTTTCTCTAAGGTAGCAGTGAATAAAACATATTTATCAAATTTGCCGAAAAGCACTGAAGGTACTCCTGCCAATCCTGGACAGATTCCGCTCTGGACTGAGTACGACAGAGATAGTTTTAACTAATTCTGTTTCAACTGGTGTAAACCACCTCAGCATGACAAAGGGCTTTCTTTCAACCCTGTTTTGAAATTTGATTGTTGAAATGGGTAAAGGAGGTAAAGACTCCTCCCTTTGTGAGGCAAGACGGAGGTTTTTCAAAGGAAATTTCATCAAGAAAATATGACTGACAGACCAGTTGTTAAGATTAAGCTGAAGGACAACTTGAACTGGAGTTTCCTACGGAAAAGTGATGTGCTTTAATTATGATATGCATGGAAAATGTACATCACAACACCGCCAGAGTTTTTAAATGACTGGCTATCTTTGAAGGTTTATTTTAATTAAATATGCAGGAGATATTTGTTTCTAAATAATAATGGTACCATTAATTCCCTTAACAGCAATTTTTGTACAGGTACATAACCCCCTGCTTTAACATTCTGACAGAAGCGGCCGTTTCTGTTTCATACTGCTTTTCCAGGTACGCTGGATTTGTTATTCTATGTGCTGCTTGGAAAAGCACACAATTTTCGAGTTTCCACAAGACTAAGACAGCAGCAAGAAGCTTCTGAAGGATTCAGAAATTCAGCCTGAAAATCCTTCCACCAATTAAAGCATCACCAGTGGTCTAGCAAACCAAATCATTAACTGCACAGCTTCACAGCCCGGTACAAACACTCAGTCGGATTTTATAAAAGCAAAAAGAAATCAGCCAGAATGAGCCAGATATAGACTGTAGCTACAGTTTCCTTTGTTACTGGTGAAAAAAACCCACAAAATGTCAGGACAAACCGAATTGCCGTACACACTCTGTGGAACCCTAAACAAGGTGAGAAAACCACGTGTGTGCAAGGAGGAGTTTGGAGGAGTCGTGTATGTTTAGAAGAGAAGCTCTTTCTCCAGAGCATCTGCTTATTTTTTCCCCTTATAAGAAGCCCATGTTTCAAACAACTCGGATGGAGAACGAAGGGGCTCCACGTCCGTACATGGAACATCTGGCAGCTAAATGCAATGCACTCATGTAATTGTTAAATTAGTTGATAAGGTGGGGGTGGGCCCTCTTTGTCATGCTTTAGAATCACAGAATCGTAGAATCATTAAGGTTGGAGAAGACCTCTGAGGTCATCAAGTCCAGCTGTCAACCCAACCCCACCACGCCTGCTAAACCATGTCCCCAAGTGCCACATCCACACGGTTTTTGAACCCCTCCAGGGATGGGGACTCCACCACTGCCCTGGGCAGCCTGGTCCAACACCTGACTACTCTTTCAGGAAAGAAGTTTTTCCCAATATCCAATCTGAACCTCCCCTGACGCAGCTTGAGGTCACTGCCTCTCATCCTATCACTGGTTACTTGGGAGAAGAGACCAACCCCCACCTCACTGCCCCCTCCTGCCAGGGAGCTGTAGAGAGCGATGAGGTCCCCCCTCAGCCTGCTCTTCTCCAAACTGAACAGCCCCAGCTCCCTCAGCCGCTCCTTGTAGGACCTGTTCTTCAGACCCCTCCCCAGCCTCGCTGCCCTGCTCTGGACAGGCTCCAGCCCCTCAATGTCCTTTACACAATTATCTGTACGACCGTACAGAAAGGAATGGAGAAACCACGCTGCGTACCTCAGAAGGTACATAGCATCACAGAACACATACACACAATCACGTTGTGTACCTCAGGAGGCACCTGAGGCTGAACGCTTTCTCCTTTTGAAAGAGGCTGAGATGGAAAGGTGCTGGGAGCGCTGAACTTAGATTTCCAGCTGCTGACAGCTGGTCATCTGTAACCGGTAATTCTACATCTAAATAAGCGGTCTGATTTTTTGGCGGTGTGGAAGTCATACCTGTGGGTCTTCACGCTTCTGCAAATCTCCTCCCTCCCCAGTATATATAATAAGAAATAAAATGAACAAAAAAATAAACCACTAAGAACCATGCTACGGGACAAGGCCTTAACCAATGCAAAGTAACCCAAATCCAGGCGATCGTGGGGCTGCTGCAGACCAGGTACCTCCCAAGCTCTGTGGTGCCGGGCATGGAGCGCAGAAGGTGCAACCCTCACGGTGCCCCAGCCGTGCAAAGCCCGACCTGACTCCGCTGCCAACTGAACACCATCAGTAAGATTTACCCTTAACTCACTGATAGATGAAGAGATGTCCGTGTCTTTCTCCTAATAAGTATTGTGTTTTTGTTCTTATCACCAATAAAAACAAAGCAAACACTCCTCAGTTGCCACCAGTGGCTACCAGCGCGATGGAGACTACCAGGTATTGACCACCCGTCATACCTGCACGCAGCAAATCCCACTGAAGATGGCCTTGGAGATAAAGGTGCTTAAAACCATTTAACACAAGTATTGCCGAGGTGTTTTAGACTGCTGATGTTATGTTTATTCCTCTTCCTGAATGCTAGAGGAGGCACACGTTTCTGGAACCTGCTGTAGAAGGGGCATCCATAAAAGTAATACGGAGTATGTACAGCCAGATACAAGGTTCTGATCCAGTTAGTGACAGGAGCACGGGGCTAATCACAGAGATGCTCCTGCCCCACCACCACTCTCCTGAATGAGAGGTTATCATCAAGCGTCTGCGAACAGAATGAAATTTCATTTCACGTGGAAGAGATGAGTAGTTGCAAATACAGGTTTAAGCACAGATTCCTTTCTCTAGTGATAAAAGAGCTTTTTTTCCCAGTATTTTTTAAATGCTGTCTCTTAACTATACATTAAAAAAGCCTCACTTTTTAAAACAAAATAGCAGTTGCTCAAAAAATGATCACAAGTGGTTAACATGGAGCTTTTCATTTCAATATGAAAACTTTAATCAAATAGTTTAATGGCACAGTTTACAAAAATAACATGACAATGATTAATAAATCCATGTTTCTCATGTCTAGGAAGACACTGGATACCCCAGGGCCACAACCCCTCTCACAGCCGCCTGCAGTAGGGAAGAGGCTGCTGCTCCCCAATCTGCTTGGCCTCGGCTGGAGCCCCAGGACGGGCTCGGGACGTCCCGGGCTGCTCCAGGGCTCGCAGATTCAAAATTCTCTCCGCGATAATCTTAAAGTCCCTGAAAACCCGAAGCGATTGCCGGTAAATTCTCCGGCCGTCCATTGTGCAAAAAAGCGGAGGAAGGGACCACAGGTCTCGGTCTGCCGTTTCTCCCAGCGCTGCTGGCGCTGAGAGCTGAAAGGTTTGTAGCATTTTAATGTCCGGAGCCGTTAGGAACGTGCAGATAAGCAGCGTGCACACAGCGAACGCGGCGTTCGGTTCCGGTGCATTCAGAAAACCAGGCTGAATTCACTAACGTAATATCACAGTCATTAATTGTTAAATACCAAAGCTGAAGTGATGCAGCCGGCGAAGCCTTATCAACTATGCCAGATTCTAGCACCTAGACATTGCAAGGTCCGCAGTTATGATGGACTACCTGAGTTGATAACACACGGAATTATCTAAACAACATTTGCATATTTGTGTAATTATTTCCTAAGGTTAATTAGCTCCTGCAAAGCAGCTTGCCCTTTGAGACTGCTTACTGTGACAGGTTCACATTTTTCC